ATAAGGTTTCCAAGGAGAGGTTGGTGAGTTTGAACCACCAACCTTGTGGTCCAAGCCGACCTTGCAGTCCGTTGCATTATCCTTCAGTTCCAAACCAGGATTCCTCCAAACACTAGTGTACCTCAATATTCGAATTTACATTTATGGTAAAGCTACTGCTTGGCCAAAATATTTTGGGATACTGCAGTGCTGTAGGATAAAAACTAGACTACTAACCTTGCTAACTGTAAAGTTGGCAGCTCAAGCCCCCCAGTTCCTCTAGGAAACCCTATACAGTGTCGCAATGAGTCCGAACTGACTTGGCGGCACCTAACAACAACAACAGTTCAACTGGAAAGAAAATTATTTTTAATCTGTGAACTTTTGAGAGCTTTTAATATGTAAATATATTTTGTAAATTTCAAAAGGCAAATGAAAAATATGTGGCATTTTCCAAGTGGATTTGATCTTGGAACTTTTCCTCAGCTCCTCCTCAGTATCTCTACCCTAAGTGGTGGTGGTGGTTATGTGCCACGGAATCAGTTCTGACTCATAGTGACCCTGTATAAGGTTTCTGAGGCTGTGATGTTTATGGAAACAGAAAACCTCATCAGCTGGTAGATTCAAACTGCTGACCTTGCAGTTACCAGACTAACTTGTAACCCACTATGCCTACCAGGGAATCCTGGTGTGACCCTGTGGGTTAATGCACTGGACTGCAAAGTTGGTTTGAACCACAAAGCCAGCGGTTCAAGCTCACCAGCTGTTCCTTGGAAACCCTTTACAAGGTCAAGATGGGTTGGAACGAACTTGATGGCACTTAACAACAACAACAATGCCCACCAGAGTGCTAGGGAATATTATTAATTAACCAGTTTGGGGTGGGGGGGAATGCTCTATGTAATTTTATAATTTCAATTTATTTCCTAAGGTAAATAACGAGTCTATTACAAAATAGAGAAAAAGGTCAACTCACAGGCGCAAAGAGGAGCCCTGATAGCATAGTGGACTACGAGCTGGACTGCTAACTGAAAGGTCAGCAGTTGGAATCTACCAGCTGCTCCGTGGGTAAAAGATGAGGCTTTCTGCTCCCATAAAGATTTACAGCCTCAGAAATTCTATACACGGTCTCTGTGTGTCAGAATGGACTCAGTGACACAAAACTACCACCACCAATAGGCCCAAAACATTATGTGTGAAGTTTAAGTCAATTTAGAAAAGTCATTAAGTGAATGCACTCACCCATGTTTTTGATTGTTATATGGCATTTTCTTAAAGGAACAAACTCACCAGCCGCTCCTCAGAAACCCTATGCAGGGTTGCTATGAGTTGGAACTCACTCAATGGCACTTAATAATAACAACAACAACAAATAAAGAAAGAACCCCTGGCTCCTAGCCCATACTGATTTTCAGGCCTTTTCTTATTCACCATCCAAGTACCTGAGCCACCCTCCAATTTCTTTCTATTACTGATTCCTTTTCTTAACAACATTTCTCGTAATTATAAACTATGTTATGAAGTCATTAGTTGATTTCCATGCTTATTGCTTGTTTCCATCAATTGCTTTCCAACTTGTCTGTTTGGTATATGAACAGTCAGCAAATATTTTTTGAATGAAAGAATAAACAGATCAGTAAAATAATCTAAGTTCTAATGATGAAGTCTTTATTACAGCAATAAAAGATGTAGAAAGAAGAAACATTGTTATTTACCAACTTTGACTGAGGCAATCAAAATAATCTTTAGATTTCTAATGAGGCAATTCCTATTAATATGAGAGGGGAATTATTGGTACTAGAATTCAGAGTGTCATATCATATACCCAAACCCCGAACTCACTGCCATCGAGTAGATTCCGAGGTTGTCAATCTTTACAGAGATGCAATCCATCTCAAGGTCAAGAAAACAAAAACCCTCACCCCTGGACCAATAAACAACATTCTTATCAACCGAGAAAAGATTGAAGTTGTCAAGGATTTCATTCTTCTTGGATCAACTATTAACACTCGCGGAAGCAGCAGTCAAGAAATCAAATGACGTATTGCATTAGGCAAATCTGCTGCACAAGACCTTTTTAAAGTGTTGAAGAGCAAAGATGTCAGCTGGAGGACTAAGGTGCGCCTGACCCAAGCCATGGTATTTTCAATAACCTCATATGCATGTGAAAGCTGGACAGTGAATAAGGAAGACTATAGAATTGATGCTTTTGAGTTATCGTGTTGGAGGAGAACATTTAAAGTGCCATGGGCTGCCAAAAGAACCAATAGATGCGTTTTGGAAGTGCAACCAGAGTGCTCCTTAGAGGCCATGGTGGCCAAACTTCGTGTCTCATACTTTGGACATATTGTCAGGAGGGACCAGTCACTGGAGAAGGATATCATGTTTGATAAGGTGGAGGGTCAGAGAAAAAGAGGAAGACCCCCAACGAGATGGATTGGCCAAGTGGCAGCATCGATGGACTCAAGCATGGCAACAGTAGTGAGGTTTCAGGACCGGGCAGTGTTTTGTTCTGTTGTACATAGGTTGCTATGAGTCAGTACCGACTGGATGGCACTTAACAACAATGACAAATTTTTACAGGACCAGTAAGCCTCCCCTTTCTCCCTTGGAGCAAGCAGCTAGTGGGTTTGAACTATTGTTCTTATTGTTGACAGCCCAATGTGTAACCTACTATACAGCACTCACTATTATGAGTTTAAGATTAATAAAGAGACCAGGGTGGTGGTGGTGGAGCATACAATTACTGTTTAAATACTTTTGGTTGTTGTTGTTGTTAAATAAGGTAAGTATATGAAAATGATTGCATATAAGGACTTCATACGAGTATGAATATCAATATTTCTTTTCCTCTAAATTTGAAGGAACTCTGAAAATGTTGCTACTTCTTGCTACAATGTAAAGCTCTTTTACTTGGAAATTCTTAAAAGCACCCTGGCTGTTGTTAAGCGCTGTTTAGTTGTGTATAGGGTTTCAAAAGATCAGATGGTGAGTTTGTGCTTAATGACCTCGTGGTCCAGTGCTTTATCCCACACAATTCACATACAATAAAAGCAAAAAGTTACAGCAATCAACCTAATTCAATTTGGGGCATTGTGATATCAACTCTCTAGAAAGTCAGTTGAAAATAGTGATATATACCACACCAGGGCTCCAAAATTCTATTGTTGGTGTTGCTGTTAAGTGCTGTCGAGTCAGTTCCTACCTATAGCTACTCTGTATAGGATTTCTCAGGAATAGCTGGTAAACTCGAATAGCCGACTTGGTGGTTTAAACTGAATTTGTAGCCCAGTGCATTAACCCAAAGAGCCACACCCGGACTCCAAAGCACCATTAACAATGCTTAAAAATTAAACTTTCTAAAGGAAAGTTTATTATCTAAATTATTGTACAAACAAGTGTATTATTGTGTATAAGTGTTAAATATGTATAGATCATAAATGTTGCTAATTTATGGGTTCTGCTAATTCTGGAAGCATGGAAGTGGTCTGATTGATGCAAATCATTGTTGGAGATTATAGTTGTTGTTGTGTGCCGTGGAGTCGCTTCCTACTCATAGCAACCCTGTACAGGGTTTCTGAGGCTGTAAATCTTTGTTGTTGTTATGTGCCGTGGAGTCGGTTCTTACGGGAGCAGAAACCCTCATCTATCTTCCACAAAACAGCTGGTAGTTTCGAACTGCTGACTGTGAGATTAGCAGCCCGATTCGTAACCATGATATAGTAGATACACGGAATTTTGCCCAACAAAACAAGATAAAAGATTCAGCAGGCAGAGGGAAACATCTAGGAATCCAAGAAGACAATTGTCATTAGTCCTTAGAACATTCTGTGATTTGAAATTGCATTAAAAATGTATTTGTTTTACTTCCGGTGTTAAAATGAAAAATATGTCTATCTCACTTCACCAGGCCTTTTATGTCGTTAAAAATTTTTTTTTCTGTTGTTTAGGTTGTCTACTTCCGGTCCCCACTCTTTTCTTTCAGTCTTCTCATTACCTCCCTCTAGGTTCTGTTTGTTTTTACTTAATGTTTTTATCTTTATTACTGGAAAAAACTAGGTCAGTAATACTTCAGTTTGTCTTCACTTTCACTCTGCAGTTCTTTCCTGAACTAGCTTTTAGCCTCTGGGAAAGAAGAAACTAAAAAGATTAACAGAAATTGGGCCAACCTCTCTGGGGGCCCTCCCCCAAGAAAGCAAAACCAACCAACTGCCCCTGAGGTTCCTTTCTGTTCTCACAGCATCCTGTATTTCCCCTCTCATAATTCTCATATTTTTATAATTGTTGAATACCTTTCATCCCAGTAGATTCTTAAATTCCTTGAGGACTTAGTATATTGCCAAGTATAATAATAAAAAAAACGTAGTCTAAATGAATTGATGATCCCTTCATGAGTGTATTGTACTGGTACCCACCAATTCACATACAATAAAAGCAAAAAGTTACAACAATCAACCTAATTCAATTTGGGGCCTTGTGATAACAATTCTCTAGAAAATCAGTTGAAAATACTGATATATTTTACAATAATTGTTGTTGTTATTGTTAAGTGCCATCGAGTCGATTCCGACTCAGCGATCCTGTATAGGATTTTCAAGGAGCAGCTGGTGGGTTTAAACTGGTGAACTTGTGGCTCACAGTCCAGTGTTGAGCCTACAGTGCCACAGAATCATTAGTTGGTTAATTTTAGTTTTGCTGTGTTTTGTGGGTGAGATGAAGGGACTGAATTATTAAGAGACTTTCTTTTCCAGTCTCAGCGGACAGACGCCGCCAATTGTGGGGTCTCTTCCTTCCATCAGCTGCTCCAGAAGCTAGGCCAGGAGACTGAGGCCCAGCTCCCAGGGCGGGGGATTTCCCAGGGATACCCCACCCGGCCCCAGGCCCCGCCCCCGGTCTCCGGCTCCGCCGCCACCGCCGCCGGCAGGGGTCGCGCTGCCACCGGCCAGCAGCGCAGGCGGGGGTGGGGAAAGCTCCAGCGGCCAGCTCGCCTTTCTCCGCCGCCGCTGGTTGGATCGTTTCAATAAAAGTCTTTTTTCTCTCGCGCTCGCTCTCCTCCGGGAAACAAGCGGAGGCGTCAATCTGCAGTCGCCGAGTGAGAAAACGACGCTCACGCAGCGAGCGAAGCGACCGCCCGCCGTCTCCTCAGCTCCCCACGGTCCGGCCCCAGAGCCCGGGTTGAGGAAGGAACCAGCCGTCCTGCCGGGCCATCTCAGCCTGGAGTCGGCGCTTCTGCGTTCGCTTCGCTCACGCCCCGGCTTCCAGAGGGGATTACTGGGCCGTCCGTGCGGCTCGGCGGCCCGGGAGCCATGTTGACCAGGGGGCTTGGTAACGCGTGAGGACTTCCAGCCCCTCCCGGAGGCCCCGGACCCTTGGCGAGAGCCGGAAGGCGGCGACGGCGGAGGCCTGCGCCTCGGGTCGGCCGGCCGCTGGGACCCGGACCTGCATCCGGTCGCGGCGGGCGTCGGCTGAGTCGCTTTCCCTCCGCGCCTCGCCTTGTCCGGGGACTCGGCCCCTGCACTTGCTGGTGAGTTCGCGGCCATCGGCCGCACGGGGCTCCCCCCTGTTGTCGGGCCGACCTCGGGCGGGGCTGATGGGGGCGGGAGGCACAGGCCCGGCCGAGAAGTTGTGAGAGGGGGCGCGGCACGGAGATCTGCGCGTGTCTGTCGCCCCTCGGCTTCAGCGCGGTCTGCGGGTCGCCCAGGCATTTCCGGGGGTGAGCGGAGCGGGGGGGTCCGGCCGCCGCCTCCGCCTCCGGTGTTTGCTGCCGCTTGGGTCTCCAGGGGCGACCGAACTCCCCGGGAGGCGGAGGAGGGGAAGAGGCAGAAAGTCCCCCGAGACACAAAGGTTCCCTGGGCGGAGGTGGCGCTGGGGGTGCGGGCCCCGGGAGATGGGCGCGGAGGCGGCGGCCGCGGCGCTGGCGGCTCCTTGGAGACGGCGGGGAGCGCCCTGGTGTGGGGAGCGGGCCAGACAAAGCTCCGGGCAGCCGCCGCTGGCGGGTCACACCCCCGAGGGTTGATCCGGAGCAGAACCGGAGGGAATGCGGGAAACCAGACAAGCGATGGCGAGGGGAAGATGGGGGGCGGGGGGGGGGCAAGGCTGCCAAGTGTTGCCGTCTCCGGCGTCGCAGTTGCATTTCTCAGCGTTTTTGTTATTTTTTTGTGCCCGATGCTTTTGCTCCCTAACTCAGCTGGGTAGCTTCAGATTCTTTCCCTCCCATCACCCCCACACTGCCACATTGACGCTCATTCTCCTCTACTTTTCACCCACTCCTTTTCGGGTAAGCAGTATTTTGCCTTCAGCTCGGGGAACGTTTGCTAATGACAGGATGCCTGTGCTGGTTCTGACCCTGAACTGCCTTGAACTCCTCTCTCGTCCTCCCACCCTTTCCTCTCTGAGCTCTGTCAGGTCACATGGCCTTTAACAATTAGCTTTTCTTCTGCAAACATGGCAAAGGCATTTAGCTGAGATCCGTGGAGCTCCTCGTTAATGTGTCCACTGGAAGCACAGCATTGGCCCTGTTTTATCACCTCTTTACTTAGCTAAGTTAATTTCTGGGTACAAAGTGGCAAATTTAGAGTCGTGACCTCTCCTAGGGTCAGGAAAGGGTATTCCTGGCAGTCTGACCTGTCACTTAATCAGGACATGCTGGACGTGAAGACAGATAGTTCTTTCCTCCAAACTTTTTCTTTTCTTTTTTTAGCCATTGTCGATGGATTTCTCTTTTGTGTACGGTGTTTGTGTGTGAAGGTCAAAGTAACACATCTGAGTTACTGTATTTTCGATTTATTTTGTTCAAAGAAGAAAATGATTAGGATTTTAAGATCTTAGTTACCTCTGGTAGACCTAAGCCTCTCTTGAACCCTACAAATAAGGTTAAATCAGATTTTAAGGAATAAAAAAAAAAGTACTAGAAGTGATAAGGTTAGTTTTGTTTTGAAAGGTCTAAGGAGTTGGTTTGGTGATTAAATATTGGGGTGCTGCTTTGTTAATGAAGTAATTTCAGTCTGTAATTCTGACATCTGTATAGTCCGTAAACAAGGGGTTGAGTGGGCGAAAGACAAAAATGTGATAAATATAGAATACTCTTTATATGACTATATTTCTTGGAAAGTTATGAGAGAATATTGGACTTATGAAAGGAGTTACCATTTTACTGTGCTAAACCATGGCATGGCTAGAGTGCTGACAATTTGAATGCAGGGCTTTCAAAACAAAATGTTGAGTCTGCATTTCAGGTGCTCTAAAATTACTGTTAAAATGTCATTTGTGCTATTTTATCATTTTGCAGTGAAAATAAAGCAACCTGAGTGGCACAAGAAAGGTCAGTAGTTTCAACTTGCATAGCAGCTCCCAAGGAGAAAAACCTGGTGATCTGCTCTAGTAAAGATTGCAGCCTAGAAATGTCTGTGGGCAATCCTACATGGGGTCACTGTGAGTTGGAAATTGACTTGAAGGCACTTAAACAACAAATAACACAATGAAAAAAAAAACACATTACTGAAGTAAAAACTGAAACAAAAACCCCAAAAAACCTAAAGCCTTTTGATGTAGGGATGTTGATGTTCATATTACTGTAAGAACAGACATATTTTGTAGCTTGTTTCCATTAAAATTTTGACGCTTTAAAAATTGTGAAGGGGATTTCAGTTTAGGGATGAGTTTCTGAGTTAGGAGACTCCCTGTACCTACTCTTAATCACCTAACGCATATTTTAGTATTTTAAAGATCTTTGTGAAAATAACAGGTCATATTAATAATCGATGTCTTATGTAACATATTTACTGAAAGGCTATATTAAGGATACATTGATTTTTTTCCTGTATAATATTAATTCTAATTATACAATCAACATTTAAGTCTTGCTGGAAAGAAGTCTATTAAAATGTCAACAAAGGTTTCTGGAGGAATTAAAAAATACATTTCTGTATTTTATTAATTTTCACTTCCATAATCAGGGGTAAAAAAAAAAGTAAATGTAGAACTAAAGTCTTATTAATGTCATGATTAACACAAAAGAGTTTGGGATTTGAAATAGTATAGCTTGCCATATATATTCTTGTTGTCAGAAGAAAATAAAGAGAGATAAATAATAATACCAGAAGGAAATAGAGATGCATAATAAAAAAAGATGGAGCTGATAGAATTGATTCACTGTCTGGTAGCTTTGTACACCAGCAATCATGTTCTAATAAGTTATTGGTAGTACAAAAAGTAGAACATTTTATTTCCTTTGCTCTGTAGTTGACTAAACAGATTTTAATAGATGTTTTTGTTGGTATGTTTAGGTTTCAAACATAGGTTCAGTGCTACAATTACGATGGGAAAAGAGCATATAAATTTAATGTCTTTGCTCTGTCAAGACTTCCTCCCCTTCCCATATTTTTAGCAGTATTGTTCCTCTTTACTCTTCTTTGGTGAAATAGTTCTAACTGAAAACAGTGCAAGTGTTTTATTGTGAACAATGAAAGCAATAATGGCAACTGAGATAGATATTCAAAAGTGAGATGATGATATGATGATGCCCTTTATTAAAAAAAAAAACAACCTGTGAATATGAAATTTTTACTCTACGGTTTTCTTTGTTATTGTCTGATAGTGCTGAATATTTATAAGGTATATTGCTGCTTCCTTTATATGCATGTAATTATAACATTCTATCTCATAGCTTTTATACTTCTATGATGGATAATTATTTAATGAAGTTATTGCTCTACTGAAAAAAAAAAAAACCCAAAAATATTCTTTAGAGTATTTTATTTAAAAATTTGTCTCTGTTCATACATGTTAAGGAAGAATAGTTTCAGGTTCTTTTGAACTTTGAATGGGTAATTATTCCTCAAACTTTTTAATAGAAAATAATTTAAAGCATCTGGTGTGGCTCCTTAGGATACTCGCTCAACCTCAAGGTCAGTTTGAACTGAAAGGTTGCGGATTCAAATTCACCAGCTGCTCCTCCAAAACCCTGTACAGGGTTGCTGTGAGTTGGAACTGACTTGATCACATTTAACAACAACAACATGTATAAAGTGACTATGGCATTTTTCATTTTATATGCTGAAAAGTAGCAATAGGTTTCTGACATTTAGAACTGTTTTATATAGTATTTGTGAGAAAAAATGCCTATAATATGAAATATGGCACAGCTGGCTAGCATTCAACCTACAATGTTGGCAGTTTATTTGAAGCTAGTGGAGAGAGTGTTTATTTGGTATTTGCTTTTTGTTTTTTAAAAGATTTCGATGACATCCTGATGGGGGTGGTTCAGAAACCTTGGAAACCCTGTAAAGGGTTGCTATGAATCAGAATCGACTTAACAACAACGTGAGATCCTTACAACACTAAGCTAAGAATTCTTATTGTCATTAATGGAATCTTTGTAATTATTTTTCCAGCAGACTTTTTAGTTGGTGGTTACAGTTTTAGGAGTCCTGGTGTGGCCCTGTAGGATAAGCAGTGGACCTTTAACTACAAGGTCAACAGTTCAAACACATCATCTGCTCCTTGGAAACTCTACACAGGGTCACTATGAATTATAACTGACTTGACAGCACTTAACAACTGCAACCCAGTTGATATTTGCACAAGAGGAATTGCCAAGGATCAGAAAAATGTATTGTATATGTCCAAGCTTAGCTTTATCTTTCCTAGCCTGTTTCCTCCCCCTCTTGGCCAACTTGGAAACTCAATAGACATCTACTAATAAATCTAATAGGAGGGCTATCTCTCTTGTGAATAATATATATTTTGCAGTAACATGATACTGAATACTATATATGAGGACGTAGATTTACTATCTACAGTATATTGGAATGACATAAAAATGATCTTGCTGTCCAAAGTTTTCTTTTAAAATATTTTTTATATTAGCTATGTGAAAGACTGTTGTTGTTAAGTGCCTTTGAGTCGGTTCCGACCCATAGCGACCCTGTACAGGGTTTCCGAGGGTGTAAATCCTTACGGGAGTAGAAAGCCTCATCTTTCTCCCGCGGAGCGACTGGTAGGAGCTCTGGTAGCGTAGTGGTTACGAATCGGGCTGCGAACCTTAAGGTCAGCAGTTCGAAACTACCAGCTGCTCCGCGGGAGAAAGATGAGGCGATCTGCTCCCGTAAAGATTTACAGCCTCGGAAACCCTATTCAGGGTCGCTATGGGTCGAAACCGACTCAACGGCACTTAACAACAACAACAACAACAAACCCTGTATAGGGTTGCTATATGAGTTGGAACCAACTCCACGGAACCACCACCATAGGTATTGTAGAGTCCTGGTGTGGCATTGTGGGTTAATGTGTTGTACTGCAAAGTTGGTTTGATTCGCAAGCTTACCAGCTGCTCCTCAGACACCTTATAAAGGGTTGCTATGGGTTGGAATTGACTCATGACACATAACAAGAACAACATTCGTATTCTGCCTACTTTTCAAATGATGAAACAGAGACTTTTGATAAGGTTAAGTAATTATTTCCATTGTGGTGCTGTAGGATAAGCACTGGACTGCTAACTGAAAGATTGGCGGTTCAGGTCCA